AGTAGAGTTATGAATGTTCTCAGATTACCCTCAAGATGATGGAAGACTGAGAGATGCTGGTGACCATTATTTATTTTTGTAAAGTAAAAATATGTTCACATCTTTAATAAATATGCAAAGAACTTACATACAAACTTAAGGGAGAAATAGTAGTAAGATAACAATAACTTACAAGTAGGATTTTATATTAATATAATTCTTATTATGGGGGTTGTCTTCTGCAAGTGTCTTCCTATCCTAGTTGACTCTAAAGGGATCAGGGGTACTTAGGCTCCTGATTCAGACAAATCCAATTTGACCATAAATGATGGTTTGGGCTGAAAGTGCTTTTCAAACAGAGTCAAATCAGGCTTGATTAAAAAATTGGAAAAGACGTTTTACAGTAAGAAACTCAGGAAGTTCAATATCTTTTGCTTATTACAAAGAGGTCAAAGGATGACTTAATCACAGCCTGACATTACCTACTGGGATAATCTTGGTAATGACTTCTCAACCTGGCCAGTAAAGATAGAACAAAAGTCTGTGGCTGGAAGCTGCAGATAACTCAGACTAGAAACCAACTATAATTATTAGTGGCTACAATAAATAGTAATTATCAAGGTGCTGCTGATCCCTTAACAAAAGCAACCTCAAAATCAAAATCAGATTTATTTAAAAAATTATGCCATGAGTCAGACAATAATTAAGGAAGAAACATGGCTTGTGCTGTGCCAGATTCAGGCCGATGTCTCACACTGCCCAGTAATCCAAGAATCTAGAAACTCACTATCCTGGAGGTTTCTGACTTTGATCTGTTTAAAGAAACTTTTATGTGTCATAGTGACATTTAATCACTGTTAATATATGCACAAAGTTCAAAGCAGGGTAATTACCATTTTTTCCAACTCCAACCTCTCATATGATTTGCCACCACCTCTCCCAGCACTCTTGTTTTGAAAACTAATTCCCATTATCTAAAAGACTTTCCAAAGCAAACACAGCAGTGTAGCACTTTCTAATATTTATTTTGTGTTCTCAAAGAAAGGGCAACAGCTTTAGGGAAGAGGGGTTTTTTTGAGAGGAGAGTTCTTCTACTAAAAAGACATTCACTGTGACTTTAAAATGTCCCCTTGCCCCTTTACTGAGTCCAAGGACCAGGTCCAAAGGCAGAAGGTTTGGCTGTATAATAAATATGCAGTAGGTGATTTTTTTCATGGGAATTAGGCAAAGGTCCTGCTCTGGCAGCAGCAAACTCTGTTTCAGTGCTTAATTGCAGCAGGACACTGCAAGTGAGAAGGTTTTTTCACAGGCTAAGACAAAGACTCATAGTTTCATAAGGTCACCATGATCTTCCCTCTAGTCTTCTTTCTTGCAAAATTTAGATTTAAAAAAAAAAAAAAACAGCAAACAAACAACCAAACAAAAAAAAACCCAACAAACCCAGAACTTCTCTGCCTGCTGCTTTCAGGTGTTCGACTGTACGGAGTGAGCCCATCACCCATTCCCTGTGCCTGTCTGATGTAGGTGGCAAACTCGGCAGAGCTGGGAACAGCTCAACTGACATGTGCAGCACACTGTGTTCACAGCATTATCACCACCCAGATTAGCAGCTGAGCTCTGCTGGTTACCGGTGGCAATTGCTTGTGAATAAATACGGGCCCTGGAAGATAGAGGTTGAGCTGCTGATTCCATCACAGACTCCTTGCCTGACCTTGGGACTGTGGCACTCTGCCTCTGTGTTTAAGAAGTTAAGATAATATTCCTTGTCTGCTTTGCAAGGATTTTGTGAGATTAGAAGCACTGTTTATTTGGGCTAGCTATGAAGCTAGTGATGGTGATGATGAGAGCTAGGTAAATATCTGTGCTCACGACACCCCAGTTAAAAACTTTCCATCCTGCTAGAGGAAAGCACACTCAAAGCCCATCAGTCACTACACCATCGCAGAACAGCTCATGTGCACATTTCCCACATCTCAGAGGTGAAAAAAAAACCCTGATGACGATGGAGCTGCAGAGAGGAAACCTGCAGTGACAAGACAGGGCACTTCATATGATGGATTTTGCTGTGATTTACGGTCCCATGCCTGGAAAAGAGCAACTGTTAAGCAGTACCTTAGTTTGATAGTCTTAGTTGTGACCTTAGTCTTAGTCCCAGTCCAGTGATGTATCTGGGAGACCTTGGGAAGAAGCTCAGGCCCCAAAGTGCATTCAGGGGCAGAGCTGCTTGCGAGGAACATGCTCAGGAGCACATGCACATGCCACACGCCGTACGCACACAGTAAGAGGTCACTTAACTGGGGCTTTACAAACATTTTCAAAGTGCTTTACAAACAATTCATTAATAGATGACATATTTTTGCTAAAGGCACAACCAGCCCAACCAGATTTTATTACAGGTGTAAATAATACCGAGAGAATTTAAGCACGAGCCTCATTTCTCTGCTCTTAATCTCTCCTCCTGCTGACACGTTAAAGGTCTGCTTACTCACCCAGCCCCTTCCCCTCCAAATCCACGAATGCTTCATCCACACTTATTTATTTCACAGTGATTTATACAGATGCCAGAAGGTACCTAGCAGTGCCCTCCAGGTTTCTTGGCCGCAATGAAAAAACAAACAACCCTAAAACCCAGATGTAGCCCAGCAGCCAGCGGTGCGATTTAACTCGTTTGGAAGAAAAACTGGCAGCTTAGAAAACCTTTTTTAACCGACCGTGAAGAAGCTGAGCACCCTTGGCTTAGGGAAGGCAAGTCAGAAGTTGAGGGCAGGGCTGGGGCACGATGGGTCCCAACACGTGTGTGTGTGTCTCAGCCCATGGGGAGCTGGACTTGGATCTTGGGGAGCCTCTGGGATCCTCACCCATGCTGAGGAGGCCCGGTGGGGACACCGGAGGAGCTGGGGATGTCTCATGGTGGCACCAGGCATGCGGGAGGGAGGGGGGTACCTGTTGTGGGGAGGGGAGGCACGGAGAGAGTTCCCCGGGGCGTTTCTGAGAGACAAGGATGCGGGCTGCAGGGAGGGGGTCACCAGCGAGGAGAAGAGGGGGGCACCCTCGTCAAAGGTGATGGGATGAAGCCACGAGGAAAAGCGCTTCTTGAGGGTGAGGGTCTGGGCTCTCCAGGGGCCGGAGGGGATCTCCTCTATGCCGAGGTGGGGGACGCAGGTAGGACCCCCTACCCCCGGAGGTTCTGGGCG